CTCGGTCTTTCTAATTTGTTACAATGTGGTTCTGCCGTTAGGGTTTCCGTCAAATCTTTTTGTTAGTTGCCTATGTGGCATTATGGGGCCTACATCTCAACTTTTTTTAAATTTTAAATTGATTATAATATTAATAAAATATTAAAAACTTAAATTAAAAAAAATCCCTCTCTCTCCCCTCTACGCTCTCCTCTCCCCGTCGATTTCTTCAACACCCCAGCCTGCAACCCAGACCCTCTCCCCCTCCTTCCTCTCGATTTCTCCTCCTCCCCTGATTTCTTTTTCCCCAAACCCTAGCACCCCACCCTCGACCTTAATAACCACCATCTCTCACTGACTTTATCCCACCACCATCTCCTCGACTTTACCGCACCACTCTCCCCGACCTAACCCCGCCACCAAACCTAACCCCTATCCACCTCACTCTTCACCTTTGACGAAACCCAACTCCAGCCGCACCCCCACTCATCTTCCCAACCTCAGCCACAAAACCCTCCTGCAAAACAACCCATCTATATATGTTTAATTATGTAGAGTAATTTTTAGGTTGATGGATAGATCTGATTCGATTTGGTTCCTTTGTGTAAGAATGGGGGTAGCGGGAGATCGAGGAGAGTTGAGGAAATAGATTTGCTAGGCTTTGACGAAATGAATATGTTGGGAGAGGGAGGATTCGGGGTTGATAGGTGGGGATTGGAGTTTGGGGTCGGGGCAGGGGGAGAAGAAATCCGAGGGGGTTGGGGGTGGGTCTGTGGGTGAAAAACCAGAAGGGGGAGGGGGATGGGTTTCGGGGGAGAGGGTGGCTTGGTGGGTGGTAGTCATAGGGCAAGGATCAGGTTCTTCAATATGCACATTGAAATTGGAAGCAGCAATATAAATCCATCGTTACAATCTTTATGCTTTTGTAAAATTGCTCCTTGGCTTTTGTTTTTAGAACATCAAACGAATTTGTAATATTGGTTTGTGTTTATTTTGCAAGATTTTTTTCTTTTCTTTTTTTCAAATTTTTTTCCAAAAAAATTAATATTTTAATCAATTTAAAATTTAAAAAAAGTGAGGATGTGAGCCCCATAATGCCACATAGGCAACTAATGGAGAGATTTGACGGAAACCCTAACGGCGGAACCACATTGTAACAAATTAGAAAGACCGGGGTATGTGATTGTAAAAATAGATTATTATAAATAAACCCAATCCTAGACATGTATTTATAAAAAAACCCACACACTATTTAAACATAGAAACACACCCAAAATCAACCCCAAAATCAACAATTGTATATTTTTTGGGTGTGTTTATAAATGGGTTTTGAGTGTGTGTAATGATGGGTTTTGGGTGTGTTTATAAAGTGTTTTGGGTGTTGGGTTTTTTTATAATTTCAGCCCCTATTTTGGGTGTTTTAGTGAAACTCCCTTGTAAAAATTAAAAACATAGAGACTAACATGTCTTAAGGGTATAACCACAGGGTACTAAACTGTAATTAACCCTAAATTCTTCCTGTCTCACACATCCTGTCTTTTTTTTCTCCGTCCTTGTCTCTGACCCAAAATCTTGATCTCTCACCAAGGTCACAAAACTTATTAAAAAGTACTCACCAAGGTCACAAAACTTATTAAAAATTATCAAATACTGAGCGTCTAGGCTCTTCCAAGAAATGGAAAACAAGAATTTATTCTTCTTTGTTTCTCAGGAAGCTTTCTAAACAGATTGGATTTATTTTTATGGTTCGAAAGGAATAACTTGACAAATAAATTTAATGCGTTATTTATGATTTAAATTACTCAGTGAAACCATAAAGCCCAAAGACGCAAAAATCCCACCACCTACAATAATACAAAAAAATACAAAAGGCTTTTTATCACAAATGGTCCCTGAGGTTTGCGAAATTATGACCTTTGGTTTCTAACGTTTTTTTTGTGACACTAATGGTCCTTAAGGTTACCCTCTACACATCAAAATTGTCCCTGCCGTTAGCTTCCGTCAAATTTGCTGTTAAATTGCTGACGTGGCACGTGTGTGGAGCCCACACATCCAATGGTATAAAGCCATGTGGTTTTAAATATAATAAAAATATATTTTAAATATTTTAAAACTTTAAATCCAAAAAATAAAAACTGCAGCATGACCATCCCCTCTGTGTCCTCCCTCTACCAGTGCTTCGCCTCCCCCTCACAAACACACTATTTGCCTCTCTCTCTCTCTCTCCCTCCTCTTCCTTCACTTTTACTGTCTAATCCAACCAAACATTGCCCCTCCGTTTGGTTCTGCCAAAGCATTGCAGCCTTAGCCAAAGCAAAAGTCAAAGCCTTTGGCTTCGTAGAAATTTTTTTAAAAAAGAGAGAGAGAGAGAAAAAGAGACACAGGGAGGGGAGAGGGAGAGAGATAGAGAGAAAGAGAAGGAAGGAAGAGGACTCTAGAGAGGCAAAAGGTGGGTCTGCGAGGGGTGCGCGTATTTCTGTTTTTGTTTTTATGGATTTAAATTTTAAAATATTTAAAATATATATTATTTTATTCAAAGCCAAGTGGCTTTATAGCATTGGATGTGTGGGCTCCACACATGTGCTACGTCAGCAATTTAACAGCAAATTTAACGGAAGCTAAAGGCAGGGACCATTTTGATGCATAGAGGGTAACCTTAAGGACCAATAGTGTCACAAAAAAAGGTTAGGGACCAAATGTGATAATTTCACAAATCTCAGGGACCATTTGTGATAAAAAGCCAGTACAAAAACACACTCCCTTGAAACGTGACTTTTCTTTTGATAGGGAAAAAGAAAGGATTGTGATTGCAGAGGTTTTGGAGAAAAGAAAGCTTGGTGTGAGAGATAAGATTTTAGGGCAGAGACATGAAGAAGGAAAAAAGTTAAGGACGGGATGTGAGATAGAAATTGACCACAAAAGAAACGTGAGACAGGAAGAAGAGAAGAGAAAAAAAAAAGGACGGGATGTTAACTTTGCCGTTAGTGAGTCCAATTTTCCTGTTACCAAATGCCCTAAACATCGTGACACGTGGCAAGCCACTTAACACCACTTAACTATGTTAATTCCATTTATTTTTCTTAAAATAACAAAAAATAAAGAGTGCTGCTATACGAACCCTAAAATTAACTGAGTACACCCTACTATCAAACTATTTATTGAATTACAAATTTACCCTAATATAAAATGACCAAAAAGGATATATTGAATTGTGAAACAAAAATAATTTTAATAAGTACACCCTACTCACCATATTCAACCGTAATCAAACGCAAATAAACTTTCGTGTTGCTTGGTGCCAGTAAAAGGATTTGTTAGCTTGTTTCAGCAAAGTGAATCATGGGGGTTATCTTGTTTCAAGTACCACCTAATGAGCTATATAGATTTTCTCATCGAATTCCTTCGTTCAAGATTACTCTAGTGCTTAACAATGATGGCCTTCCATGTCCACCTCAAGAATTGTAACTGTATTTTGGTTTGAAGACTGACGCTGGCTTATTGGGGTCACTTCTTTGATTATGTTTCTCTCTAAATCAATTTGGCCCTCTCTTCTTTTCACTGGTTGGAGTTGTAGCCCCATTTTCTTTCCAATTGTTTATATTGCCTTTCCATTTTGGTATTTGCTTATCATCAGATGTATCTCCTCATTGGCTTGCTGCCTTTTATGAAATCACATCTACCTTCGACCAAAAACAAAGAAACAAAAGATGATTGGTGATGAAAGATATGGTGTTCCGCTGAAAATAGAAGTAAGATGATGAAGCTTTGAATTGAGGAGCTAGTAAATCTACAGCAACTTACGAAATTAAAGATTTGATGCAAACTCAAAATCTGAAAAGAGGGCACGAATTCATGTAAAAAGAGAAATCTTGTTTAGGATTGGTATTAGGGTGTTGTGTGATAGATTGTATTAGGGTGTATCAGGGATATTTTTTGTAGTTAAATAGGGTGTACTTAGTTAATTTTACATTTTGATTAAAATATTAGGGTGTACTTAGATCATATGGTGTACTCATTTAATTTTAGGGTTCGTTTAGCAGTACTCAAAATAAAATATGCGCAACCCCACACCATCCTTACATCCCCGACCTCTCTTCTCTCTCTCTCTCTCTCTCTCTCTCTCTGAGTTTAACCCGTTGCCAATCACCAGCACCTTTTTTTTCTTACTCCAATGGCAACCCCACCCTGCACCATCTCTCAATTGAGGATATTTCTAAGGTTTGAGAATTGAGCCCCTTTTTGTCCCAAGAGCAGAAAGCTTTAGACTCTCAAACCCCTCTTAGGCCACAACAGCATCCTAGTCACAAAATCCAAAAGAACCCAAATTCAAAGAGAAAGAAAACCAAATTTAATTCATATTCAAAAACCATTCGTGTAGTCTAATGCTTCTATCTCCTAGATTGTGCCTCAATTCTCATTCCCGAAAACTGACTGAAACCCCCATACTCTCAACACCAACCAAGCCGACTGGCACCCATGGTCGATGAATCCAGTTCAACCAATTTACACCCACGAAACATCAAAGAATGGATTTTTAATTCTAAAATTTGGAATTTTGGGTTGGAATTTTTTAAAGTTTATGTGAAGGAGGGGTGGGGTGGTTCTCTGTCTCTGTCTTGTTTGGCTAGCAGTAAGTAGGGGAGAGAGAGGGAAGGGAGGTCTCGTGGTGGTGGGGTGGGGCTGGATCAGCGAGGCTTAAGTCAAGAGTAGTGGAGGACAGGGATTGGCTGGTTAGGATGATGAGAGGTAGACTTAACAGCGTTAACATGGTTAAAAGTGCTGTTAAGTGGTTTGCCACGTGTCAAAAAGCTAGCAGGGAAAAAAGGGTGGCACAGGATATTTGGCAACAGGAAAATTGGACATTTTTTTCTTTTTTAATTAGAAGTAAATTGGATTTTTGTTTAAAACTTTTAAGTTCCTTAGACTAAATTTTAATGAGGTGGCATATAGAGACCAAAATACAGAAAACAGAATTCTTGCTTTTGCAGGAAACAAAGGAATGCTTGCTGAGAATACAAAGATACGGACGAAACAGTACACGTATTCAAAATGCCTAAGAAAATATGTTCCATAGTCTATTTGTAATCTTGCAATGCCCCAGCACTGCCAATCACATGCTAAAAAAGAAAACACATATATACATAGAAGCTAAGAAACTCTTGTTAGATAGTCTATATGTACTCTGCCAATGCCCTAGTCTTGTAAATTGCAAGCTAGGAGAGAGAGAAAGACAACGATTTTTCATGTTAGACTCCAAGTTACTGAATAAGTCGCTTGGATGGACTAATATAAAAAAATTACTCACAGATTTTTCCAGACATTAAAATCTGTACTTGAGCTGTTATAATTTATGATGCTGTCTTGGCATCCTATAAAGTATGAACTCCGTACTGGATCTATATTTATTAAAGCATGGGCAGTTCCGCTTGGGCTACCTGCAACAGCAACCTCATCTGCACCAATGGTCACTTCAGCATAACCACTGCCATCCACCTGGTGGTTCTCCAGCTTCAAATAGTTCACAACTAAAAGAGTAAGTAAAAATATAACAAGATTATGAAGTCAAACACTACAACGAGACATTTAAATTTATGTCATTATACCTATATCGTATTCATCTGAATTACATATCATCCTCAATTGTAACAACAGACACCTAAACGTCGTCGCCTTACCAACTAGTTCCAAATTACCTAATGGATGCACGTTAGAATGCAGTCGTTTTAATAACTATTGTAGGACCATTGACACAATTTAATTGTTGACAGCAGAAAGGGCCATAACATCAGGCAATTTCAATTTGTATGTGCCATAAAAATACAAGCAACCTTGGAAAAAAAGGAAATAAAATCTGGTGATGAGAACTTGCACTCAGTGATGAAAATTTTGACATATCCAGTCCGATATTATGCGGATATGTCAAAAGTTGCCAACACAGACATTGGGAGCAGAAGGTTTCTTCCTGCAACATTTCAATGAAATTCTCCATATTGGGCTGAAACAGAGCAAGAATTGGAAATTGGTAGAAATATCTTTGACATCTGTGAAAATATCCAAGGCATTTCCACTGGATCTCACTGATATTGTACAAAGGACAAGATTGATGACATTTTGACAGAAGAATGGTGCCCTACTACCATCCAGAACTTCCTATCCAGCTACTACCCAGAATATTTCAGAAATTAGCCATGGCTGTGCCTAGCCAGTGGAGATGACGTGTGAAAATAAAATCCTTGTGGTGAAGATTATTTCATATCAGTTTAATTAACTAAATGAATGAGTTTTGAGAAAGAAAAGTATAGCCTTATAAACAAGTTGGTAGTAGAATGGTCAGGATATTTAGGTCATTCTAAATTAAGTTATCTTCTATATAAAAAGATGAATTAATGAACTTACATAGAAAGTTCATTCTTGTGCATTTCTAGTGAATCCTTTGTTTATAGGCAGGCTAATGCGTTTTTACTAAAATAAGATATAAGGGAATTCTTTTAGCATAAATTTAGATGAACCTAAAGGCTTTCTTTTCCCCAAAAATACTTCAGAGTTAAGGATCTACATTTCTCAACCCTTGAGTTCAAATCCAACTACAAGATTATTTTATTTGATTTCATAAACAAAATCATCTATGCAATTTCATAAACAAAATAAGTTGAAATATGGAACTTTTCAACATAATGTGGCATCCTTGTTTGCCCTTCTTGGCCAGTTGTGATTTGTGCCTATGCGCTGCTATATGTTTTTAAAGTCTTGCTAAATAGCCAGTTTGATGTCCAAACAGCAGAGTTCCATGAGGTGGTCAGACATAGAACATGTATAAAAACCCTTCGCAGAAAATGAACATAAGGTCCTACAAACTTTCAGGCAGAGACGGGCAAAAGTATTCATGTAATGAAACCATGCATTTGGGTTTAAAACTGGAGTGAGTTCCCTTCAGTTTTCTTATCATAAACATCTAAATTACTCAGAACCTAAATTTAATTTCCAACATAAATAAGTTTTGAACTGATATCAGATACAAAATAAGGCAAACAGCTCGAACATCTACAAACAGAACGGAAGTTATATCAAAGTTTTCATATTTTCATTGTGTCATGCATGCAATTCTCCTCTATCAATTTGGAACTTTTCAACTCAATGAACAATCTTGTAGAAAAATTATATTGATTGCCACAATGAATACATCCAGAATAGATGATCTAGTCATTTAGTATACTGCAAAAAAAAGGGTAAAATTTTATAACATTTATGCTTCTATGGAACTGAGAGCTTACCCTAAACTTGGTTTCAGCACCCCATATGACAAATGTTTCATTACAAGTATGGTGCCTGTGATTTCCCCTCAAACCACCAGGTTGGATTTCTCCAAGATGAATTGAAACACAGCTTACAGCTCCACCTGTAAACAAACACAATCATTTCCTCAACTACCAGCAAATGCATTTTGTATCAGGGATCAGATTTGAGTTGGAAATCCAAATCCAAAGGAAACCCAATAAAATCCTACAACTTCACAAGAATTTAAATTCAATCTTTACACAACCAACAGGCTATAGAATCAATGTCATACAGTGCAAGAAAAAGCAGCCAAATGGGTTGAAATCAAAATACTATTTCATGACAATGCAATGGAAAAGGATGCATTTTGATGCAAACAAACAATACAAAAAATTTAAAATTATTTCACCCATCAAATCTCTCTCTCACTATTCAAAGAGAATCCCATCAATTACCTTTCAAATTAGGAAAAAAGAAAAGCAACCAAAAAAGGAAAACAAGAAAGAGAAAGGGGGTGTGCCTGAAATGCCAGAATCAAGGGCAAGGGAGATGGGGTCGAGCAGCCATCCCCTCTTGTCTTTTGCAATCCGAGAAGGAAACCCAGAGCTGAACCTAATGAGATTGGCGCTGGAATCACTCAATTGGCTCCATTTTTTATGGGGGAGGCGATTGTCTTTGTCTTTAGAAATATGGGAAGGAGCAGAGGAGAGGTAGGAGGAGTGTTGGAGTCTGAGAGAGACCCATGTGAGCAAAAGGAAGATGGAGAGCAGAAAAGGGAAGGCATGCGGCTTCTTCAGAAAGTGGACTAGTGCTGAGGAGAATTGGATGCTTTGGCTGTGGAATGGGTTCTCTAAGCTCTGGCTGTTCCTTCGAGGGTTTGCCATCACATTCTCTCTCCCCTGTCTCTTCGCATTTCACTTCACATTGTGTCCGTATATTTGGAATTTGTGATTTTATTAAGGATTAACATCAAAAGACCCCTCTAGGTTTGGAGTCATTCTCAATATGGACTCTGAGGTATCAATTTCATCAATTTACACCTTAATGTTTTCAAACTTGTTCAATTTAAATCCTTCGTTAAGACCGTTTGGTTAGACGTTAACTGATGATGTGTCACTGTGAGACCTACCTATTTACTAATCCATAAAAAATAAATAAATAAATAAATAAACTTAAAAAAACCCAGCACCTCCCCTGCCCAACAACCCAACGTCCTTTGGTTCACACACCCCCTCTCGCCGATGAAAGTTTCGTCGACCATGTTCTTGAAGGCCATGGCTGCTAACCCGTTGAGCTAGAACTTCCAGATCTCGTTGGGGGCTTAAGATTGGAGAAACATATATTCAAGAAACTGGTGCAGGCAAATGGAAAAATAAGAAAGAGAAGGGGAAGGGCTGGTGGCATCAGATCTAGAAAGTGGTCAGGCAATAGAGAGAAGGAAGTGATAGGAAGAGAGAAGAAAGATGGCCAACAATTTGTTAATTTGGGGATTAAACAACCCTCCCAATTTGAACAGAAAAGAAATTGGTTGTATGTTCGTCGGCGAGAGGGGGTGTGTGAACCAGAGGACGCTGGGTTATTGGCAGGGGGAGGTGCTGGGCTTTTTTAAGTTTTTAATTTTTTTTTAATTTTTTTAAATTTGTTTTAATTTTTTTAATTTTTTTAATATTTTTTTATGGAGTAGTAAATAGGTAGGTCCCACAGTGACATGTCATCAATTAACGTATGATCAAACGGTCAACTTAACAGAGGGTTTAAATTGGACAAGTTTGAAAACATTCGGGTGTAAATTGATGAAATTGATATCTCGGGGTCTATATTGAGAATGACCCCAAATCTAGAGGGGGTCTTTTGATGTTAATCCTTTTATTAAGGGTTAAATATTAAAATGGTCCCTATGTTATAGTCATTTGGGCAATTTAGTTCTTGTGTTTTTAATTTGGTTAATTTAGTCCATGTGTTTTACTTCGTTAGCCAATATTGTCCATTCCGTTAAATTACCATTAAAAAATTCATTGAAATTTTTATAAGTAATAAAAAAAAGAAGGGTAAAGTGCCGAAAACCCCCTTGAACTATAACGCTTATCGAAATGTCCACCATAAATTATTTTTTGGGAGCTTCACTATATACCCAAAATAGAGGTTGAAATTATAAATAAATAAAAAAAACCCACATAGAATGCAATTTAGAAACACACTCAAAACTCATTTACTACATAAGAAATTGGTGTTTAAGTTTCTATAAATTACGTGACTGCCATTGATCAACTTAAAAAAGAAGTCCAACACAAAAAACTTAAATAGCACCTAAAACAAGCCCACCCCAATTTTATAAAAAATAAAAAATAAAAAAAAAACCCAAATAATTCATTACAAACAAAACGTCTTGAAAACCATAGCTTCATTTACGTGTCATGTTGATTAATGACTATAATGTTCCCCACCTTTACTGTCATGTTGATTAATCGTTGTAATGTTCCAGTCTATGGTAATATCACTGTATTAAAATGGTCCCTATGTTATAGTCATTTGGGCAATTTAGTTCTTGTGTTTTTAATTTGGTTAATTTAGTCCATGTGTTTTACTTCGTTAGCCAATATTGTCCATTCCGTTAAATTACCATTAAAAAATTCATTGAAATTTTTATAAGTAATAAAAAAAAAGGGTAAAGTGCCGAAAACCCCCTTGAACTATAACGCTTATCGAAATGTCCACCATAAATTATTTTTTGGGAGCTTCACTATATACCCAAAATAGGGGTTGAAATTATAAATAAATAAATAAAACCCACATGGAATGCAATTTAGAAACACACTCAAAACTCATTTACTACATAAGAAATTGGTGTTTAAGTTTCTATAAATTACGTGACTGCCATTGATCAACTTAAAAAAGAAGTCCAACACAAAAAACTTAAATAGCACCTAAAACAAGCCCACCCCAATTTTATAAAAAATAAAAAATAAAAAAAAAACCCAAATCCATGTAATGTTTCAGTCTATGGTAATAACACCACTAGTTTCCTATGACATCCTATTTCTAATGCATGTCTACCCATGTAATGTTCCAGTCTATGGTAATAACACCACTAGTTTCTTATGACATCCTATTTCTAATGCATGTCTACCCCTGTAATGTTCCAGTCTAGGGTAATAGCACTGGTAGTTTACTGTCATGTTGATTAATGGTTGTAATGTTCCAGTCTAGGGTAATAACATTGCTAGTTTCCTATGACATCCTATTTCTAATGCATGTCTACCCATGTAATGTTTCAGTCTATGGTAATAACACCACTAGTTTCCTATGACATCCTATTTCTAATGCATGTCTACCCCTGTAATATTCCAGTCTAGGGTAATAGCACTGGTAGTTTACTGTCATGTTGATTAATGGTTGTAATGTTCTAGGTCATTTGGGCAATTTAGTTCTTGTGTTTTTAATTTGGTTAATTTAGTCCATGTGTTTTACTTCGTTAGCCAATATTGTCCATTCCGTTAAATTACCATTAAAAAATTCATTGAAATTTTTATAAGTAATAAAAAAAAGAAGGGTAAAGTGCCGAAAACCCCCTTGAACTATAACGCTTATCGAAATGTCCACCATAAATTATTTTTTGGGAGCTTCACTATATACCCAAAATAGGGGTTGAAATTATAAATAAATAAATAAAACCCACATGATGTTCTAGTCTAGGGTAATAACAATACTAGTTTCCTATGACATCCTATTTCTAATGCATGTCTACCCCTGTAATGTTCCAGTCTAAGGTAATAACACTGCTAGTTTACTGTCATGTTGATTAATGCTTGTCATGTTGCTATTTCTAATACATGTCCACCAAAGAAAAGATGAAGAAAGAACAAACCAAACCAACTCAAAACAAGCCAAGCCTAGATTATTAATACTATTATGTCATAGAAGTATATTGTTAATACTCTGTTATAGAAGTACATTGTTAATACTCTGTCATAGAAGTACATCGTTAAATAAAAATGAGATCCATAACCGAAATAGTAACAAAAGATAAATCGATCATCAAAGCTTAAAATACATTTCGAAAATCAACTAAAATCGGAAGAGAAACACATAATTGAAGCAAAAGATCAAAAATCTCAAGTCCAAACCAAACGACAACGACGATGTGTCAAAAGAGGAGTAGAGCTCGAAGATGAGGAGTAGAGCTAAGAATATCTTATCTAGGTTCATTCGAGGTCTTGAACAATCTGGAAAAAAAAAAATTATCAATAGAAGCACGATTTTAGACCAAGAAATCAAAGGTGAAATATTGAAAATTGTCGATTAAAGATGAAGAATATAGTTGGACTTGAGATTGAGCTTCAACAGAAGCTCCTCTTGCTCCAACACCAGAGAAAGCACCAGTGAGAAAGGAGAAAATAAGGCTTGTTTGGGACTGCTTCTCTAGGAAGCACTTTTACTTATAAGCGCTTATACCAAAAGTGCTTTTATTATAAAGATGTTGAAATTTTCATAAGAAATCGAAGTGCTTCTTGGAAAAGCATTTGGGAGTGCTTCTTGAAGAAGCACATGGCAAGTGCTTCTCTCTAATACATGTCCACCAAAGAAAAGATGAAGAAAGAACAAACCAAACCAACTCAAAACAAGCCAAGCCTAGATTATTAATACTATTATGTCATAGAAGTATATTGTTAATACTCTGTTATAGAAGTACATTGTTAATACTCTGTCATAGAAGTACATCGTTAAATAAAAATGAGATCCATAACCGAAATAGTAACAAAAGATAAATCGATCATCAAAGCTTAAAATACATTTCGAAAATCAACTAAAATCGGAAGAGAAACACATAATTGAAGCAAAAGATCAAAAATCTCAAGTCCAAACCAAACGACAACGACGATGTGTCAAAAGAGGAGTAGAGCTCGAAGATGAGGAGTAGAGCTAAGAATATCTTATCTAGGTTCATTCGAGGTCTTGAACAATCTGGAAAAAAATATATATCAATAGAAGCACGATTTTAGAACAAGAAATCAAAGGTGAAATATTGAAAATTGTAGATTAAAGATGAAGAATATAGTTGGACTTGAGATTGAGCTTCAACAGAAGCTCCTCTTGCTCCAACACCAGAGAAAGCACCAGCGAGAAAGGAGAAAATAAGGCTTGTTTGGGACTGCTTCTCTAGGAAGCACTTTGACTTTTAAGCGCTTCTACCAAAAGTGCTTTTATTATAAAGATGTTGAAATTTTCATAAGAAATCGAAGTGCTTCTTGGAAAAGCACATGGGAGTGCTTCTTGAAGAAGCACATGGCAAGTGCTTCTCCAGAAAGCGCTTCTATGGCCCAAAAGTGCTTCTAAACTTTTCTGCCAAACGTTGTCAGAAGCGTTTTTGGTTGTCATAAAGCGCTTTTAACTATTCCAGAAGCACTCCCAAACGGGCAAATCTGATTTGGTTTTTTGGCTGATTTGATTTTTTGGCTGATTTGGTTTTTTGGCTGATTTGGGCAGATTTGATTTTTCTCTCTCAAATCCATAGTATAAGGGCAATATAGGTATTTAACACACACAAATAAACTAAAAAACAACTATTAAATTGAAAAAATTGACAACTGTCAATTTTTGGGTGTGTTTATATTTTTAAATGGTATAGGGTTTCTTTATAAGACTATGTCTAAGATTGGGTATATAACTAAATTTCTATTATTTTTTCAGCCAATTTAGCCATTATAAGAAATTTTATCGCCAATTTAACACCTACCATTAAGTTTCTACAGTTTCATCCAATTTTCCATCAATTATAAGGATAAGTTTGTCATTTTACAAAATACAATATTAATACGAATTTTTAAAAAATGTAAATAAAAAAAATCAAAATAGAAAAAAGAAGAAGAAAAGTAAACACGGGCATGCTGCAGAACCCCATCCCCTCCATAGCCAAGTAAGGTCCTCCCCCACCACCCCCCCCACCTCGCTTCCTCACCGAATGGCAAACTCGTAACAACCCTAGCGTTACGACAAA